GGCCAAAGTGCAGCGGCAGCACTTCATTCAAACAAGAGGCGTACACTTCCGGCAAGCACCGCAGCGGGGAGGATTTGGGCGACAATAATTTGTCATTCGCATTCTCCCCTTGGGGGGGCTCGCAGAGAAGAATCACCTCCACAATGTCGTAGCGGTGCAACACGTCCAAGAGTTCCACCTCCGATGCAATGCGGTGGCGTGTCACGGCGTAAGTAACAAAGCTGACAAGTGTGACATTCATCGCGGGAGCTCCTGCTGCTGCCGGCAATGATGATGGCGATGGTGCCTTTATAAAACACATGAACAACTCGGATGATTCTTCCTTCATGGGAAAATTCACTCCTTCTGGTTCCGCTTCGTCATCCTCCGCCCCGGCTTCTGCGACATCTGCCGTATCCACAGACGAAACACCATTTGAATTTGTCGTCTTCGCCGGGTTAGCGACACCAATCACCTCGGACGGGAGTAGTGTTCCTCGGCTGCACACACGTGTGATTTCTCGGGTAAAAATACCCTTCGCGGTCCCACTGTTTGCGCGAATGGAAGCGTTTTCTTGGTCAGCAAACGCCACCCGGTAACCCATGGCCACAAGGCGGTGAACGTACAGGTTTACTCGCACATACGGTACACTGCTCGACTCGAACGGGGTGGTACCAACGCACATGATACCAAAACGACGGCTCGCCACGCGGCTATCGCGGCCGTAGAACTTTACACGATAACCGCACGCAACCATCAGCACCACATCGGGCGGTAGAGATTCCTTGAGAGAAACCACCTGCTTCTCAAGGGGCGTCAGTGTGACCGCTTTCACCTCCGTATCCTTCACGGGGCGTTGGCATATCAACTCAATGGCATGCCGAACTGCCGCCGCTTCCGCTTCGGCATCCCGCTGTCGCTTGCCCATCACAAACTCCTCACCGGATCCTCTTTTGTATGGCTCCCCCCACCCACCCCAAAATAAACCACAGAAAATAAAATAAACCGCCGCGATGGGGAGAGAAAAAAAAAAAAAAAAGAGAGAGAGCACCACAGGAGAAGCAGCAAAGAAATGTAATGCACGCATCCATGACGATACGGGCAGAAAAAAATTAAAAAATAGAGATTCCACGGCCGAAGAATGGACTCAATCCACACCGTCAAAAGCCACGGGGATCACGTCAACAATTAACTCTCAAACAGAAACAAAAGAAAAAAACACAAAAATACACACGTACTTAAAAACAAAAAAAAAAAAATTCCTCCAACTGACTAAATTACATCGGATACAAACACACATACTTCCATTCCTTTCCACCTTTCCTGTTGTATATATAAATATATATATTCGTGGGGTCATGGTTCACTCCAACAATCCACTGAAACACCACCATCACAAAAAAAAAAAAAAAGGAAAACAACAACAACAAAAAGTAGATTTTTTTTTTTTTTGGACGCCCATTATTCAAAAAATCAAATGCTGCCTCCTTGTGCAAAAAAACAAAAAAACAAAGTCGAGTAACGAAAGAAAAGCCCAACGTATCAAACGCAGAAATTTATGCTTGTATATGTATATTAACCCATATGTACATGCGAAGACTAAAACTCTACCGCTAATGACGCAAAATGGCACTGTGTGCCAGTAGAGCAAGCATGTAAAACTTTTCAATTTTATCCGTCTGCAGATGGTGCTTGGTGTTTTTTCGACGATCATCTTCAAGAAGTTGGGAGAGCTCTTCGTTCAAGTACCGGCCTGTATTGAGTTCGTAGTGAGTGTAGGGTTTGTCATACATGGGGTCGTAATTATTAATGAATCGCGCCTGTACCGCCCCCGTAACGGAGTATCCTTCCTTTATCAAGGCGTCTAGTACTTCCAAATCACGTTTGATAAAATCGTCCCCTTCTGTAGACGCAAGAGTGGAGTGCATCGTCGAGGACACTCCTCCTCCTTCCACTTCGTCCTCAGCTTCCACGTGCATCCCAATATTGGAGCTTCACACGGACCAAAATGGGCGTGTATCCCCAACCTAAACCACGACAGGGCACGAAAATAAAGAAAAGAAGAAGACAGCATTAAACATCATGGAGAGACGCACGCCATTACACACAAAGGAAATGAGAGATGTAAAAAAAAAAAAAAGGAGGCCCAAAAGAGACGGTAAAAAGTAGAGGATTCAATGGAAGTCAATATTGTTACATACACCACACATGTGTGAGAAGGACACTCCCCTCCCCTCCAAAAAAACTGGAGTCTCACAAAAAAAGAAAACCACAGCACCGCACGCCAATTCTTTTTACCCTTTTTAAATTTTTTTTCCACTTCTCTCTCTCCCTCTTTTTTTTTTTCTTTGTATCCTTTTACTTGTGTTTTTATTCCGCTTTTCCTTCTCTCTGCTGTTTTTTTTTTTTTTTTCCCTCTCCCCCCTTCTTATTCCTTGGGGAGGAGGTTCCTTGCCGCCTTACTTTTGAGGACAGGGGGCCATGGCACCCTTCTCCTTGTCCTCCTTTAGCGTCAGCACCCGGTTCATGACGAGGTGGCCGGGACGCGTGTCTGGGTCCACAACAAAATACCCAAAACGCTCGGCCTGTACGGATTCAAACACCTTCGCGTTTTGTATTTCCGGCTCGGCGTAACCCTGCTGGACCTGCTCGCTGTCGGAATTGATGTACTTTAGGAACTCTGGGTCAAGGGCGGCACGATCGTCCTTCAGAAGATCTCCGTAAAGCCGGAATTCTACGGGGAATTGCGTACTTCTCACTGACCCAA